CCGCCCGAGGTAGCCGCACCAGGCCCCCCAAAAGCCCAGCCTTTGCAGGCCCCAGCCCGCCAGCCTGCAGAAGGCAGCGCCCGCAGCCTGCCGGGCTAATGAGAAGCACATGGGACCCACATCTGGTAGCGATTGAGCAGGGAGCAGCGCTGGGAAGGGAGGAAGCGCAGATTTCCTGCAGCACAAAGGAAGGGAGAGGAATGTCCGTGGCGGAGCGGAGGCCCCAGGGTCCCCCCTCCCTCTGCCGGCTCAGCCGCGATGCCTTTGCTAGGGGTGCAAAGGCACCGGGTCGTGCCTTGGTCCTTTGCCGGCACTGCTGGAGCTTGTCCCTGGGAACGCGCTCCCCCCTTCCCTGGGCTTGAGCCTCCCCTCTCCCTGGCTGCCCCCCTTTCAGCTCGCAGGGGTGCACAGGCTCCCCGGGGCCCCTGTGCACAGCACTCACGGCCATGCCGGCCCTCTGAGCCTCATGCACCGTCTCTCCCCTCCAGTCCGGTGCTGCTCAGGGTCAAGATCAAGGCCCTGCTGCTCAGAGTCTGGGGTCAAGACAACCCTCCCCATGCCCAGACACCACTGGGCTTCAACTCCCCCTCAAAATGGCCTTGGGAAGAGAGCAACAGCCCCAGCGAGGCGCTGAAGATGGCAAGATCAAGGCAGGGTCTGCCCCGTGCCGTGACGATGGGGATGTGACGCTTGGATGGGGACAAGGCAGGCTGCATTTAGGTCCTCACCAGTGCAGGCAGCCGTGTCGGGGGCAGGCAGCTTGCCTCGTCCTGTGCTGGTACCAGGTGAAGTCTTGGCCCCTCCATCCCCGAGCATCCACGGCTGCTGAAGAGATTTTGGGTTGTATTGCCGGGGGAACACCCTGGGACAGCAAAACCCTGGGTTCAGGTGACACCAGGGAAGGACATTTAGCAAAAGCTGCCATCAAATCTTCGTGGCGGAGGATGGCAAACTGTCGGGGATGCTTTTATCCTGGTCTTCCGTACCACCCCAGCCGGAGCTGAGCAGCACAGCTAACAGCTTTCAGGTAAAAGACCCCGTTTTCCCTTCCCCAGCAGCTCAGCGGGCTGCAGCCACCCAGGCTCTGCGCCACGGCTCTGCCTCCGGCAGCTCCCGTGCGGCAAAAATCTCCCGAGGATGGGGTTGGGGTGATTTGCCCGTTCAAAATACGGGGCAGCCATTTCACGGGGACGTTGCCGCCAAGCTGGGGGAAGAGCAGGCAGGGGGTGGGCAGGACAGACAGACAGGGCAGGGTTAACTGTACAAGGCAGGGGCCTAAGCAGCCCAGAGGGACCTGCAACCCGCACACCCAAGGCCTCTCCAGGACCCGGGATTTGGGGATCCTTGGATGGAAATCCGGGGCAACCAACCGGGGGGGGGAAGGAACGATTCATATTCAGGGAGATTTTAGGGATGCCCCGTTTCCCTGGGGATGCCCCGTGTTCCTTCTCCGACAGGGACATTTCCACTCCTCTCAAGCGGGCAGCACAGCTCTTGCAAGCTCTGAAGTCACGTTAAATACTTTTCAGGCATTTTTAAGACATTTCCGTGGATCTTTTCGTTTTGTTGATTCAAGCCGGGACCCCCCGAGCGCCCAGGGACACACCCCCCCCTGCACCGCCACCCCCGCGGCGCCCC